TTTGCCCTCGTTCTTTATTTTAGCAGCCATCAGTGAATGTGACCCTCCCTTTACTTGCAGCTGAACCAACCTTCCTCACTGTGCCAGCGGCCACAGGGCGAACCGAGTACCACAGGGTACGAAATACAGGCTGCATCAACCACAACCACATCGTCTGCTAGCATTTAAACAGCCATCGAGTTGTTGTGTGCATACAAGAACGTACCTACGTGCATCTGTCGATTTGATGAGTCACATGGTGCCCACAAGAGCTCGTACGCACCTTAGGCCCAAAGGCCAACGGCAAATTATTTTGTGCATGAAGAAAAGGGAATTCTTGTTCACGATCCCGTTAGAACGTGCAATTTTACAGTGACAAGGGAACTAATAACGAGCAATAACTGAATTAGACTACAGCAACACATGATGTAGATGGAAGTTCGTACTGCTAGTTTATACTACTCTAATTACTGGTATATTCCTTTACATAAAGATACTTACAAAATTCAACGTGTTGATGTTGTCCGCAAAGTTCTACTTGACAAAAAGAAATCTGGTACTCAATTGACAGAGCTGTTCTCAGAAAATATGCCTTAGTTGTCCTCAGGAAAAAAATAGCCATCAGCTCATCATACTGCTCTAGAAATGGTTTTCTTTTTATTATTAAACTTTTTCTAAAACAAATTCCAAATCTAACACCGTCCCATTTTTATTTTCAAATCTAACTCGTTTGGCCGCGCTTAAGTCCATGACGCGGCCAAAACATGCTGCCGCGCTATATGCATCGGCGCGGCACAATCTACCACATCAGACAAGGAAAATTCTTGCCGCGCCACTCCCGTTGGCGCGGCTGCATTGTAGCACCGCGTCGATCAGACTGGCGCGATAAGGAGCAACCTTAGAAAAATTGTATCTTTTTCATATGATTTTGGATGAAGATAACTTTTATATGAAAATTGTAGCTCTCGACGAGATCTGCAACTTTCTAGTTTTGAGTTTTTTAATTTGAGGTCAAAAAATTAAATAAAGTTTCAGCTACAAGTGGTTGTCGTCTTGAAAAAATCGTATCTCTCTTATGTAGTGTCAAATAAAGATACATTCTATATGAAAGTTATAGCACTCAATAAGATCTACAATTTTCTCATTTTTGAGTTTTCTAATCTTAAGATTCTCAAAAAAATAGACCAAGTTTCTATAGTAGCCCCGTTCGCTTGTCTTAAATTTAGCTTGTTCGGCTTATTTTTTCAGCCGGAACAGTGTTTTTCTCTCATAACAATTCAGCCGGAACAGTGTTTTCCAGCCAGTTTCAGCCAAAGTTCAGACCAGCGAACGGGGCCAGTATATCAATCATGTACAAGTGATTGTCGCCTTAAAAAATTATATCTTTCTTATATGGTGTCAACTGGAGATATTTTTTATATGGAAGTTATAGCTCTCGATGGTATCTACAAATTTATAGTTTTGATTTTTTTCATTTGAGATCATTAAGATATTTAAAAATAATAATATAAATTTTCAGCAGCATATTAATCGTGTACAAGCTTTTTTCGCATTCGAAAAATTATATATTTTTTGTACGGTGGCAAATGAAGATACTTTTTACATAAATGTATCTCTTCGTGAGATTTACAACTTTATAGTTTTAAGTTGTTTCATTTGAGGTTGTTATCTTTTTTTACGGTGTCGAATTAAGTTTTTCCATTTAACTTTCTTCCGCCAGTTAGCAACCATTGCGAGGGTCTTGTCTCTGGCGGGGGTTTCTCTCTACGACTGGCGATGGACCTGCAGTTGCATAGGATAGAGGCAACCTTAGTCGGAGAACCTTCGCCACGGTTGTTACTTGTCCGGAATCTTCTGTTGAGAGCTGTTGAAGGTCCCTCTTGACAGGTGAGGGTTCGCCGGGGCGGCTTGCTGAAGGTGCTCCCCCCAACACACACTATTACTATCTTACTTACACTTTTATCCTCACTTTGCATAAAAGGTTAATCCAAAGATGGTGAAAAAAGTTACTAACAGTAGCCATCGTTAATTATAAATTTGGCGAGGTCTAATAAACTTCGAATCTTTTTGTTCCTATCTCGTATCTAGGGCTTGTTTGGCTCATTGCCGCAACTTGCTACAACGCAGCTGCGGCATGCTACAACACGTTTGACTCCGGCCCTACTTGTGGCATGCCAAAGAAAACACGGCATGCTCTAGTGTATTTGTGCCAAAGCTAGTCAAATGTATGGAGGAGAATTTGAGTGCCGCACTTTAGGCGAGTGCAACTTCCACTAAGAAGGAAATTCATTAATAATTTGAATAAGTTAGTTAATTGAATTTATAAAAGGTTTCATCGATATCTGATGCTACTCCACCTGCTGCTGGCTTTGCTTTTTTTAGAAATGGCCAGCTTGGAATTTTATTTTGGAGATACTAAAACCCGGACGTTTGGACAAATTCCCGTGCCTGGCCGCTATCTTCGTTTCACGTGCGCCCGCGCATACACGGGAAACGTCGCATACCGGCCGTATAAAGTTGTAGATCGCATCAAGGCTACAACTTTCGTATAGAAAGTATCTCCATTTGACACTACATAAGAAAAATACATATTTTCTAAGGCGACAAGCGCTTGTACGCGATTAATATACTGCTGAAACTTTATTTAATTTTTTTAGCATCATCATGACCCCAAATTAAAAAAAAACTCAAAACTAGAAAGTTTTAGATCTCGTTGAGAGCTACAATTTTCATATAGAAAGTATCTTCATTTGACACCATATATGAGAGATACAATTTTTCCAAGATGATAAGCACTTGTATGTGATTAATATATTGCTGAAACTTTGTTTGACTTTTTTGAGCATCTTAATGACCTTAAATTAAAAAACTCAAAATTAGAAAGTTGTAGATCTCGTTGAGAGCTACAATTTTCATATAAAAATTATCTTATCCAAGATAGTATAAAAAAAATATAATTTTTCTAAAGTTGCACCTTATCGCGCCAATCGGGTTAGCGCGGCACTACAGCGCTACCGTGCCAACGGGAGTGGCGTAGCAAGGATTTACACGTGGAAATCATTGTCCGACGTGGCCGATCGTGCCGCGCCGATACATGTGGCGCGGCAACGTGTTTTGACCGCGCCACGGATTTAGGCACGGCCAAACAGGTTAGATTTGAAAATAAAAAAGGTTATATTTGGAATTTATTTTTAAAAAAGGTTAAAAATAAAAAAAATACTAGAAATGTGATATAGACTACAACCAACGCTTGACAAGTGAATCCATGTTCAGAGTGTAAAACTGTAAATCCTTAGTCCTCGTTCATCTCAGGACCAGAATCGGCTGCAGTTAGCTTTTCTATTATTTGTCCTTGCAGATTTCCAGGACAAAATGCCAAAAGAATTCTTTAGAAGTATGCCAGTACCCACCATCAGCAATAATTGGTACCCAACCAAGCAGTGCAAGGAGACACGCACCAACTACATACATGCTTTACATATACTGCAACATGTCATCAAAAGGTGGCATCAAGAATTCAAAGATTTGGTCAGGTATTTAAAAGCAAGATATGGGACCAAGTAATGGATTAAAAAAGTTATATTTTTTGGTTCTATCTTAATACTACAACCTCATGCCCTCACTTATTAATCTCCTACTGATTTTTACGAGAATATATTTGAGTGACAATTTTTCTGTGACATGATATAATATCAGGTGACCGTAAATTTGTTATTCCAATGTTCTTCGCTTCAACTAGAAACGAATTTTGCACTAATATTACCCATGAAGCATTATAATTTGCATTCTATGTTTCTATCTAATCAAGAGGGCTGATTTAGCGCTGTAGGAGAAGTTTCTCCAATATATGTCAAAATTGTAGCGATAGAAAGTGGCAAACTAACTTATTCGCTTGAAGATCTTATACTAAAATAGCAGAAAATGCAAAAGATAGGATAGCAGCCTCAGCAATCTTGGCATAATAACGAGACGAGACCTCAGTTCTAAAACACAAATCTGACAAACAATAACTCATGGTAAAGACTTGGAAACTAGTACATAAATATATTTCCAAAATGCTGAAAGGTTGGGTCCACATCTTCACCTTAATACATGATGCAGCGAAATCTGAAGATACAAATTACCTAACAGCGTGAAAAAAATGATTTCCAACAGTGGCTCAACAGAATTAACAAGCATTCCCATCTTCTGTTAAGTTTGTGTATATTAGCAACTGAGCACTAATTCCGACGAGCAAATTCAGTACTGAAAAGGTCCCTATCTACACTCAAAACTCTAGGTACATAGTATATGAACGATTGTAGTTGATCTGCAGTGTTTGAAACCCTGATCTGTGAGACTGTGACAACACTTTGGACTCGAAAAGCTTTAACTGCTAATATCAATGCAGCCAGGTGGGCAGCTACCTTAATGGAGTGTGTGTAAACTATGATAGCATTGCTACCTTGCACAAGTCAATAAATCCCTGGAGCAGCCTTTCTGCTTCAATGGTGAATCCAATAAGATATACCAAAGCATAAGGCTATGAGACAAACCAAACACATCAGCACTTAGTCTCTTGTCCACTGAACAAAATATTGCTGGACTATTTTGCTTCAACTAGTACCAAACCCAATGAAACAATAGCTTAGTACCGATCTCCCTCCAACTGCGAAATTCTCTTAGATCACATCTGCTTAGTCCATGTTACCAAGACTCCAAATCCTGCTTGGACCAGTCAGTCTACTTTACACTCTCCAATCTTTCCCAATCCATTTTCCACTACTGCATGACTGTCAACATTTCTGTCAAAACAATAGAAGTGGTTTAACAGTATCCTATGAACCTAATATAAAATTGAAAGTAAACACAACAACATTTGTGTCAGCAATTCGTCTGTACTTTTGTCTAGAACTGGAATGATGGTTAAATTGGTTTGTCATGAAAACTAATAATATCTTCTTATGTGAAATGGAAAGTTTAGATTGATGAAAACAAGAGATCTCATTTAAAGATGTAGGGATACCTTTGGTACCTCTGAATTAAGCACGTTGAAATTTGTTTGCAGCTGTTCTTATCCAGGCCCTATCTTTCTTGCTATATGCATAATTTGCATTGGAGGCCAACAGGATGACACCTTCAGTTTTTGTTTCATTATTAGCTGGATCAGGACTCAGAATTGGTTGAGCTAACACAGAAAGAATCCCATCTGGCAGAATCTTCACAAGCTGAGAATCTGGTCAGAGCAGCATGGTTGACAGCATAAGAGAATATTTTCTAGAGTCGTCAAACAAGGGAAACGAAATGTTCTGAAACTTCAATAACCATCCAACTGTACATTAGTAATGCAACTGTTAGTCCTAATATGCATCTTGAATTTTGTAGTTTTAATCTATATGATATGGATATGCCTCCACGTACGAGACACGAAAGCAGTAGTCACAAATGAGGTACAATTTACAAATCTTACGCCCTGTTCGCTTGGCTTATAAGCCGTACTTTTTTAGCCAACGAACAGTATTTTTCTCTCACAACAAATCAGCCAACGGTACTTTCAGTCATGGCTTATCAGCCAAGCGAACAGGGCATTATTTGTTAGCAGCTGGAGTGCAAACCTCATATGACTGGTAACTAAGTAGTAATAATCTGTACTGAATTCGGTCAGATATAAATGGTTATGGTTGCAGAGCTCCATTCTGCAATCAAACGAAGGAGCAAAACTAACAATCAGTATGTGGACCGGTAAATCAACACTTTGTGTCAGCAAAAATCGAAAGATTCTGCTAGGCGAGAGCAGTACACTTACCTGAGGAATTAGGGAAGTACAAAGCATCCTTCAAATCAACAAGTCCTACTTGTTGCATCTGACTTTTGAACCACTCAATCATGGCATATTTTGAAGTATTTGCAGGTGGATTCCAGTATCCTCGTACGCAGAAGAGATCCCCAATTGCTATGACCTAGGGGGGAAATAAAGACACAATGAGGCATCTGATTATCTGACTAGTTCAAAAATTGCAATTGTTTCTAACAATATCCACACAAGAAATGGAAAATGTACTAGACCAATTGACATTATCAAACCGTCCACAATTGTAAACCTGAGAAGATTTTGTTATTGCTGCAACTACTACTTAACTTTAACATCTGATGCTACTATATATCCAAAAGAAAAACTGGAAGTGTCTGGCATATTTGAGCTGAATTCCATCAAGTTCGATTTCAAATCATATGGCTGATAAGAATCCGAATTCATACCACAGACGTGGTGTTTGTGTTCCGCAGCAGGACGTAGGACGCCCACGCCATGTCCTCCTTCTGCACCGCTGACAGGTTCTCCGACATGATGAAACCTGGCTGCTCCCCTCGGGCAACGGCACTCGGCTGGCAGCATCAGCGCCCTGCAGCAACAACCAAAAACCCCCAATCGCAGAACTCTCAGTCCCCACCATCCCAGCGCAACGCAACGAACCATTCCATCAAGACTAAGAGAAAAGTCCCCTTCGCACCTCAAGGAACCTCCCGAGGAAAGGCAGCGTCGCCGAGAACGCGGCCAGGCACAGCCCCAGAGCCTCGGACCTCTGCGAGTTCGCAGGCACGCACAACCAGTTAGGCGGGGACGGTTACGGTTGAAGGAAGGGGGACGGCGGGAGGTGAGGGGTGGTTGCCGAGGACCGACGAGCTGCGCGGGCGTGGGGGACGGGGAGAGGAGGTGGTTGAGGACCACGAGCGCGCCGAAACCGAGGCCTATCCACCGCGGGAGGTACGACTCGTCCAGCCCCGGGATCCCTGCACCATAAGGATAAGGAAGCGTGGTTACCGGGACCAGCTAGACGCCGGCGGCGTACGTACGAGGAGGAGGAGGGAGAAGTGGGCTGGTACCGAGGGTGAAGCGTAGGACGGAGAGGTTGACCTGCTGCTGCTGCGGAGGGTCGGAGTTGGAGGCACGGACGAGGGAGGAGAGGGTGCGGCGGCGGGGTTTGGCCGCTGGCGCTGCGCACGGGCGGAGCCGAGCGGTGGCGGTGGGGAGAAGGTGGGAGGAGCGGTGGAGCGCCGGTGCGCGGGCGTGGAGAGGCATGGCGTGGCCGGCGGTGGCCGTGGAGAACTGGATTGGTGGTCGTGACCAGTGGCCCTCGCGCGACTCGACTTTGACAATTGGACTGCCAAACAAAAAGCTGTGCAGATGTTTTCTTTACCTTGGGCTTTTGAGGTCCAGTAAGTCTTTATGGGCTAGAGTTGGTTCAGTGTACAACGTGGGCTTCTCCGCTTCGGCTTCTTCATCGCAGGCTCCGCCCCTCCCGTTTTTGTTTCCTGCCGCCGTGACGCCAACGGCCCACGCTCCGTGGGCTCTCAGTCAGTTTTGCTGAATGTTGAGTCGCGGCCCGGGAACGGCATCCGGCAAGCCAGCAGTTAAAAGGCCAAAGGACTTTGAAAGATTTGGAGGACCTGGAATCTATTGCTAAGCCATCTAGTGGGACACCAGTTCATGCGGTTCCAGTACCAAGGTAAGCTCGTTGGATTCCTCCCCCAAGAGCTATACCTAAAATTAATGTTGATGCAGCTGTGTCGAAAAATGAGAATCGAGGGGCAGCAGCAGCCTTTCTGTCGAGACCATGATGGTACTTATCTTGGAGCTTCTGTGGTGGTCTTTGTTGGCATCACAGATCCTGCAACTTTGGAAGCCTTGGCCTGCCGTGAAGCTCTTGCTCTTGCTAAAGATCTTGCTTTGGAGAGATTATTTGTTGTTTCAGACTGCAAGACGGTTGTCTCGGAGATTGGTGAAGGAACTCTAGGTAGCTATGGCTCGATCATTGCTGAGATAAATTCCCGAACTGCACTCTTCAATGAGTGTAGTTTTGCCCATGAAAGAAGAGCTTCAAATTTTGAAGCACACAATCTAGCTAGGCATACAATTTTATATGGGACTGGCCGTCATCTGTGGCTTGGTGTACCATATTCTGATATTATTCCTGTAAACATTGTTATTGAGTAATAAAGCCTACCTGATTGTCTAAAAAAAAAAAGCGGTCAAAAGGCCACACGATTACGACACTGCCACACTGGTCCCGGCTTTGGCGGCATGGGTGTGGGATGAAGGCATGAAGCGCTCGGAAACACCAGTACACCACTGGGTCAAAAGTTTCGTCCTCTTTAGCCAGCAAAAGGGAAGCAGGCCAGAAGTTTCTCGGAACCACAAGCGCTGGTCTAGTGGTCTGGCGTCTCGAGTCAATAGTGCCGTCGCATCTGTGAAGATGATCTTGTACTTGTACCTAGACAAAGACCACACATCCTCTCCAGTCCCCACTAGGCCACCACTGCACCACGTTAACGCTGTTCATCGAGTCAGCAGCAGACAGCGCAAAAAAGCATGGGCGACTGCAAATAACCGCGAGGCGAGTAGAGGCGACCACGGTTTTCCTTGGCTGGTGATCTGTGACGGCACACCACTGACTGAGAACAAAGAGACCCATCCCTTTACATCTTCATACAAACCACCACCCGCCGCCGTGGTCGATCCACCGAAAACCTTGCCGCGCCATTGGCGTGGCGAGTGGCGACACGGAAAAGGTTGTTCCCCTCAGATGCCGGGAGAAACATGGGAATGGGAGGCAAGGCCCGGACAGATTCATGCCGCTATGGCGCTATCATGAAGGTCCGCCACAAGAACAGCAACGGGCGAGCCAATACTTGCGCGCACCGAAAGCTGACGATGCGCCAACCCAGAACTGCACTGCACCCGCCGTAGGATACGACAGGATTCCTTCGGTTCCCTCCAGCACTGGCACGCACGGACGCACGGACATCATGCCAAGGCGTGCAACGGATGCAGTGACATCGCAGACAGATCGGTCTTCAGAAAAAAAAAAAAAAGGGACTCCCAAGACAACCTGCTGCTTGGCAACAGGATGCGTGCGCGAGGTGCGCGGATTTGCTTGTGCGAGCAGGCGATTGACTGCAAACGAACGCCCCAACTGGTTCGCAACTGTCAGTATTATATTTTCAGCAGGAAAAGCGACAGCATTTCTTTATGGTACGAGCAGGATGGCCTGATCGTGGCGATGACGACGACGACAGTCGACAGCAGCGTGTGGTCGCTGAATAGTCTATGTGTTGCTAAACCGTGCTTGAGCAGGCAATAAAAGAATGTCACGCAAATTCGGCAGCGGTTTCAGATGGAAACAGCAGCGAACATGAGCAGTTGCCCCCTGATTCAGTCCATCGGTGTACAACGTACTTGGTGCGCGTTGATTCTGTGATTCATCGGTCATATGTTATCTTGATCGTGTTGCCACTTAAAAATCCTGTCTGCCCTGCTGCCCTCGAGCTCGATATGCATGACCGACAAAACGAACGAAACCGAACCTGTCAACCCCACAAGCCAGTTTTCTCCGAGCCTGCCAGTACTGACTGGAGCAAGAAAGACGAAACCGTCAGGTTAAACTTAGATCTCTGTAATTGTGGAACTGCCTAAGAATTTCCGGCAACGGGTGAGCTATCGTCAGTCAGGTTAAACTCCGCTTTCTGTACTTTTGGACCTACCTAGGACTTTCTGGCAACGGATGGGCAAAGCTCATCCCATTAGAATTTATCATTAATGAAGGAGTGCTATCATAAGAATACATCACATTAAAGAATGAATTGATAGCACATATCAGAAACTGGGAACGACATCTCTTCTAACTCATTTCAGTCTCAATTCAGTATATGAGTGGAAAAACAATCACAATAATTAAAAGAATAGGAAAAAAAATACCACACATTTCTCTCTGTCTCAATTCAGTTCAAGAGTGGAAACGCACATCACAAAAACTAGAAGAATTGGAAAAAGAAAGCATCAGAAACTGAGCAGTAGATAGCAAATTAGAAACTGGGAACGACATCTTCAAACTCATTTCAGTACAGTTTCATGGCTACCTCCAAGTCCCAATTCAGCTCAAGGGGGGGCGAAAACGACCTTGGGAAAGGACTGACAGAGCACTCTAGTGGTCACCTGACCATACAAAAACTTGAGTTCTACAACCATATACACTTCATCTCTGTTGCGAACTAGAGCCCAAAGCAAAAATAAGATCAGGCTGCAAGCTGCAAGCTGGATTTGGTCTGTCCTAATGTGAGTACCTCCACAACATCTACAGTCTCACTTCTGAGACCTGACCACTCTCTCCTGCTGAAGCCCCTTCCCTTTCGGATAGAAGAGCACCGAGTCGATGCACAGCCCGCCTTTTGTGTGCGTGCAGTCGATCTGCGCCATGGAGAACTTCAGCTTCATCGGCTGGTCAGGCTTTGAGGCCACAAAATCGCCAGCATGGTACAGGACCCAGCTCCCGGGCTCCTCCAGGTAGCACTGAGACAATGCCTGCTGCCCGTCGGAGGTCGATAGCTGGAAGCGCACAGGCTTCTTGTCCCAACCATGCACATGCTCTGAGGAGAAATGGCGGCGGCCAAATCGTTTGTAGAACTTCCCAAGATGGACCCTAAAGTACAAGCTATATGTTCCAACAGGGAAGCAGAAATCGACTTCACCAGCCACCTCAAACCACCAGATTTGCTGAAGGTAAGCTACAGACTGGAAACTGCATGATAAATCAATAACTATTGGTCAGATATTTGACTTTCATTTCAACAATATGATATCACCTATACTTATGATGAACTAGAAATTTGAATTCGACTACTTTGAACATTCTTAAGGGCGGGCCTGGTGCAAGCGGTAGAGTCTTACCGCCTATGACCGGAAGGTCCCGGGTTCGAGTCGCGGTCTCCTCGTATTGCACAGGCGAGGGTAAAGCTTGCCACTAACACCCTTCCCCAGACCCCGCACAGAGCGGGAGCTCTCTGCACTGGGTACGCCCCTTTTTTTTACTTTGAACATTCTAGATGAATATTGCAACACAGATGCAGGCCTCTTGAGAAGGGCGGGCCTGGTGCAAGCGGTAGAGTCTTACCGCCTGTGACCGAAAGGTCCCGGGTTCGAGTCGCGGTCTCCTTGCATTGCATAGGCGAGGGTAAGGCTTGCCACTGACACCCTTCCCCAGACCCCGCACAGAGCGGGAGCTCTCTGCACTGGGTACGCCCTTTTTTTAGATGCAGGCCTCTTGACTCTTGTGCAACAAGGCAGAAAGCTACATCTCTTGTTCTAAAGAGATAATCAGCTCATGTACATTTGACAACATGTATGCATCCACCACATCTATTACGTTTCAGAGTAAATAAGCTTATGCAGATCTTAAAATAAACTCCTTTGAAAGTACCTACAATTATATGAGACCATGTATGCATCAATATCAATCATTATCAGGAGAAAGTAACACTACTTCGAAAGCTGAATATAAATGAATGTCATGCTTAGCAAAGAAAAAAAAGGAACAGGTCAATCACACCATGAGTAAATATCTTCAGCCCATTCCATCGCAATTAATGCCACCAAATCATCTTTGTTTTCAGAAAACTATCATAAACTGAACAAACAAATATTAGTAAATGTGATATCAAAGCCATATTCACCTTGATTCCGAAGTTGGCATGTGTTGCCAGTATCTTCTATCATCAATCCCAGTTATCACCAGTGCTTTGGACGATAGTGCCATACAGATCATGCCTTTGCTCTTGTCCAACCAGAATTCCTACAATTTACGAAGACACGCACTTTTAACTATACTGTTCTTGTTCTACAACCAAAAATATATTGTCGGGGACCAATACTAGGGTACCCGAAGAGGAGGAGGTAATGGTCATCAACATTGATTCAACCGAGCAGTCAAGAGCGCGCCTACAACTCCAACCGACCACAAGGTGCGCAAGCTCGGGTTTGTGCTCCACCTCGCCCGACCCCAAGACGACGGGCTCCGCCTCGCCAGACCCCTTGGGTACGGGCTCCGTCTCGCCCAACGGGGACCCATACCGTCGCCAACCACTACAGGTCCAAGCGTATGGGCCTGAGTCAAAACTCTAACACCAAGGAAGAGACTGGCATGCCCCGATGTAACCCGCGGCCACGACGGGCCATACCTGAGGATTCACATCAAGAACAGCGTCGAACGTATCGATGTTGTTCTGCCTAACCCTCGTACGAACACTGACAGGCGCGTCAGTTCACCACGACGTCCGCAAGGATGGAGTGAAGCGCCATGACCGGCGGATGACGCCTGCGCATGGCGCGAGTGACGGACAGGACCACAACGTGGAGCCGTCCATGTTGACATCTACAGGGTCGACGGGACCCGCATGAAGGAGAAGGACTGAGCGATCCTGGAGGCCTTCCTCTCTCTCGTTCTTCTGCTTTTCCTCCGCTATAATCCACGCTTTCCCTCGGCCTATAAAAGGAAAAGCAGGGCGCCCCCTGAAGGGGATCCCAAACCGATCGACTCATCAAGATCCGATACAGATCCGCACAAGAGCACGACATGAACACATAGCTGAGCAGCAATCGAGCTCTCGGCACCCACTCACTCCTTTCACCAAAGACTTGAGATCCTTTCCCTCTCTCATCCGTTTGTAACCCCTACTACAAACTTTCGGTGCTAGGAACACGAGCAGCAACGACGAACTGGACGTAGGGACTTTCTACCCGGACCAGTATAAACCTCATATCATCTAAGGACACCGTCCAAGCCAAACGTGCAAAAATACAAATTTACTCGTTGGTGTAACTCGAAACTCCAAGCACCGATATATACACACACACACTCTACTAGGCCTAAAATGTAGCGATCTTCCTACACAGGACAGCAGTTTAAATCATTGAAGCTAAAGATGGGAAAAAAAACCCATTTTCTGAACAACAATTTACCTGCCACTAATTTGGGTCTGCCACAAAACAAAGAACGCAATTTTCCAAAAGGAAAAGAAGTGACTTATTTCAATTGAAAGATACTACTTTGAGCCTGTTCTTCCCTAATCTCCAGTTGAGCTCAGATAAATGATCCTGGGTTCACAACTAGGAAGGACTCGGTCATGGGCACAGAAAAGATGACCAATTCAAGGAAAGACGGCTTCGAATCCTCCAATAAACTACTGAACCGCCGCTCATATAATTTTCAAGTCCCTCCCGTAACAAAAATCACAGAAAGCCACGCAAAAAGGGGAAGCAAAATATCTTACCTTCTGGCCGTCGCCGAAAGGCACAGGCCTGGCGAGCCTGGCATAGATCTCTTTCTTGCCGGCCCGCCGCCGCCTCCGCCTGCCCTCGTCGCCGCTCCCGACGAACTCCATCAGGTAGCTGTAGTTCTCCGGCAGCTTGGCCTCCCAAACGAAGTCCGCCCCCGCCGCGCCGCGGAACGCGTGGTTGAGCCGCGCGAGCCTGCAGATCTCCGGCGGGTCGAGCCGGAGCAGCACCTGCGCGGCGCAGAGCTCCGGCAGGTCGCCCAGGCCCACAGCAGCAGGCCCGGCACCGGCAGCCGCCGCCGCCGCCTCGGCTCCGTCCATCCCGAGCAGTACCGACACCCACGCCCCCATGCCCCCCGCGCCGCCTCCAGTCGCAACGATTTGTTCTGACCCGGCTTCCGCTAGCTTTGGGACCGGAGGAAGAGGGGGGCAATTTAAAGAGGAAGGTGGGACGCCAAAATAGACAGAGGAGGGGCTCGTTGATTGCAATGGATATATTGCGTTATCTTAGCCAAACGCTATTAGTACCCCTAATAATCATAGGTAAGCCCTTTCTCAGGGATCTTTCTGTAACTATGTGTACTAACACGGACCAGTGCGGAGGGTTTATTTTACAAAAAGTTAGGATTATTATAGTACTAATCTGGGATTTTGTCATTAATGTTAACAGATTGGGTTAACCATTCGTGGGCCGCGGGCGTCGGGAACAGCCATATCCGTGAACGCGGTCCATACACCGGGCGGCTGTCTGGCGCCTACGAGGCCACGCGTCAGCGATCGGGTCCATGCGACGCGACTCGTAGGGTAGGCGCAGCTGGTAGGACGCGGGAGTCGTATGGACTGGACACTTCCACAGATGCCCCCCACCCCCCGCGGGGCGGCTCATGACACAGGCTGGAAAGTCAGCCGCTGAGCCGCATATCTACATCTACACTCTTATCCACCGTACGTATATACGGTTACAAACGTACTTAGTACTACTTACCCAGAAAAGAAATACTACGCTCCGTATTGTACGTACTATCCTGGTAGCTGTAAAAGGGGTTGTTAAATAAAACAGCTCGTAACTGCACGCGTAAACTGTGAGGTAATAAGAAGAGGAATGTGGGTAAGTATGTACACATGGCGTACGCTGTCGGCCTTATCGTCGTACACAACAGTCGTTGGGTCATTGGGTGACTTGGGTTGCAACTTGTAAGGTGCATGCAGCTGCACGCATACGGTATGCCGCATTTTTTTTTCGCAGTTGCAGGGAGAGTCCGAGGGTGTCTCGAGAGTTCTGTTCCTGCCAGCGCCAAGCGTTCGTTCGACGGATTCTGCCTGCCACACGGTTGTACGTTCATCACTGTTTAGTATTAATCAAATCAGTGTCAAGTGTGTACTATAGTAACTAGCTAGTGGCACTATCAGCCTGCGTATCGGTAACTCTGGGTCTGGCTTACCGTGTACCACTGGTAGTAGGAAATTAGGAATCTGGAAAGGATCAATTTATCCGATGTCATAATCCAATTCACGGATCCAACAAGTTTTGCATGTGTGGTCCTTTGTGTACGCTAATGTAGTTGAGTATCAGTAGGCAATACTATAAAAAATAGAAATGCTATATAATACATGTGTGTTTTAGCAATAAAAAACATATGGATTTTAGTCCACCGGATTGTTCTCTCGGCTTGCTGCGTCCGTCAGATCTGCAACCGTGGTGGTGTCAGGTATGCGCGTGGTGAGCGTCCAGATGACGGTGGTGCAGCCGAGGGTGATGATGACGGCGGCAGGTGGTGGTGCAGTCTTGTCCCAGTCTTGGCGGAGGCAGGTGGTGGTGCAGTCTTGTCGGAGACTGGTGGTGATGACAGCGGGTAGGCCGATTTGCATAGAAAAAAATTATTTCTTATAATATATGGATTTGTAATCTTATGATTTGTGATTGTTTAGAGGTAGAAAAAGGCTGAAGGTAGAAAGAGAATGGAGGTTGTTGGATCTTAATTCTATGGTGTAAAAAAATTCATGTGTTAAACTGCATAAAACAACCGATTCGACGATTTTTAGCCGTCTAGTGGAGATACGTACCATGCTTGCTCATACAAAATCCACGTTGTTTTCGTGCAAACAAATCAAGCGATTAGCTAGGTAAGAGATCGCCAACGGACCGGTCATCTCCGTCACTAGGCCCGGCAGCCAAGAATTAACGTCGCTCTCGGCTGCGATAAGTAAAACCAGATGGATCGATCCAGCCAGCCATACTAGGGGGCCGTTTGTTTGGGCTCCTGCATGCTCGGCTCCGACTCCTTCGTCCCTGTTACTTCCTGTGATCAAGAAAAAGACTCCGGCTCCTGTGCAACCCAGAGGAAAGCCGAAGAGCTACCGAAGGATGCTCCTCCCGGCTCAGAAGCCGCGCCAAACACAGCCTAGGATTCACACTAGTTTATGGCAACCTTCGCGCTCCCCCGCCGCGGTCTCGGTAGCGCAGCAGCGAGACGGCAGCCGTGCCTGCCGAGCGCCGAGTGCCGAGAAGGACAAGACAGGTACGGGTACGGCTATTCTAAAGCGGAGCTCGCCCGGGCCCGACGTGGCGCCGGCCGGTGGTGGGCAGTGGGCACACGCCGCGCGCACTGGCGGCCATCACGAACTGTTTAGCAAAAAAACTTGCTGGCTGGTTCGCCGTGCACTTCTACCGTGCGCAAGCGCAACTAGCGACCCGCCCTCCTCCCGGCACGGACGGGACAAGAGACGTGACAGGTCCGCCCCGTCCATCTCGAAGGGTCGATCGGTCCGATGCATCGCCTGCCAGGGTCACTTTCGGCCCCTGTGATGTGTTTGTCTTCATCGTTTCGTTTCTGATTATTATTAGGAATAATCTCGCTTCTTAAGAAATTATTTTTTAAAAAAATAACTAAATATATAAAAATATAGCAATATTTTATGAAACGTAACGAGGAATCGTTAGCTTAACTGTAGGATATGTTTTTTATAATAAATATATTTAGGAGGTAAAAGTATTGATTTGAAATATTTTCTATTAATCTAGTTAATTTTTTTAAATGACTCCTCAAAAATTATTTGAGCAGTTATTCGGAATGGAGGAAGTAAGTAGTGATTCCTTAGTTTAAATTGTTTGTTGCAAAATTCGGAGTAAATCAAATCTCCGGCTGGGAATGGAGTCTTTTTCCTTGTCTGACGTGTACCTCTAAGGTGCATGATTTGGATATTATTAATATTATTATGTTTTGGAAGAGAGATGGCCACGACGGTAAGTACGTGGAAGGTTAGGGACGGAAGTCGTGACGCGCTTCAATTCTACCAGCGATTATTGCGCTCAGTGTCTCATCTGATCATCCTTCTTGCCAATAATCGACAATGGAAACTATAAACTCTTCTGGTTTTTCTCGGGCGCGAGCCTAGTTACGTCTAGTATTTTATGAAGAGAAAACGCAATAATGCAAGTGATTAAAACTAACGCAGTTAGATAGGCTGTCTTTGATACTAGCATTTAGACTATGGGCTGCTGCCGTGGATGTAGCATTTAAACTGTCTGCCGTCCAAAATAAGTGACGTTTTTTACTTTCAGACATCTTGTTTAACTGTTCGCCTTATTTAAAATGTTGTGACAGAGGGAACTGGTACAGCTGAAACCACAGGGAAAGACTGCGGAACGAATAAGCTTGTAGTCTTTCGCTACACCATAGCGGCAGCTAGTGTAGCTTGAGAAAACAGTTTCTTACTACAGTATACCATATATTTAAAGAATTTAAACCATTTTAGGAGGAGAAAATCCTACCAAACAAGACATGATTGTTTGAGCTTCCAATTCATTTGGATAAGTGATAAGAACATATTGTACGGCTAAAAGTGGTTCTTTTGGATTCCTAAAAGTAAATGGTGAACCTGTGCGAGAAGTGAATTAGAAGAAACTATTCTTTTAGACTTTTGTCTCCTAATTTATTTTAGAGAATCATCGCTCCATAGAATCAATATATAATTATTTCTCCGTAAAATACTATTTGCTAGAGCGATTCTTGAATTCAGCCCGAAAAGCTGCACTAAAAGCTCCGCCAATAAAGCCCTTAATCCAGCAATTTGAACCATAACTCTCCATCAAATTGCTTTTCATGACTTGTTTGTACAAAAAACTATTTCCCAGACTCGGAGGAAGCCTTTTCTGTAGTAGAAAAATATTACATCGGGGCATATTTTGGTGAATCACTTATCGACTATTGCTTTAGCTTCTTTGTACACCGCCACATTGAGCTATTTTTATCTCTCCTCTTAAAATAAAAAAAAAGAACTCATAAAATTATTATATTTTTATTCCTAGGTCGCCTCCTCGCTCCAAGCACCGTCACAAGTAGCTAGAGTCTTTTGGAGCTATACCAAACGCCGTCTAAATATATCCATTGTGTATTGGCTAACTTGTTATCCTCTATTCCACCTTGGTTCGAGCAATTATAATGACATCTCTCGTCTTAATAAAACTAGTAGTACAATGTTTTTTTTTAAGTTGCCCGTGACAAGTATGAAACGCTGCCATTGACCATTTTCGATAGTGTCCAGTAGACGAAAAGCCCCATGCCTCTATTCCACCTTTCTGGACAAAATTCGGCACACTTTTGATCTTTAACACCACGCGGCGACCGCGTGAGCAGTAAACATCGGAAGCTCGCTATGCAGTATGCACAAGGGCGGAGCTTTCCTAGTCGTCCTAGCACCACAGTTTTGTTCGAGTTGAAGCCCGGATCGTGCTCTCCCGTCGAACCCACATGGCAGCAATCACGTCCCCGTCAGCCGGCGGGGCCCGGTCCCTGTACCAGAAGATAGAGAGCCGCCGCAACAAAAGTATCGGGGCAGCGGACAGCGGTGCGCCGGCAGCTGCTACTAGCTCTGAAGCGTGGATCCCAGTCAGCACACACGCTTTTCGGCCCGTGGGAATGCGAGACGTGGCGGCTGGCTACCCGCCGTGCCCGCCGCTGTATTCGGCGGAAGTGGAAGTGTGCAACGGATAGAAATAATAACAATAATGCGAGCGATATACGGTATACTGTAGTGTAGTGTGTACGTAAAAAGTAGTACTACTAACATTGTACGTATAGGATAGGAGTACGTACTGTTTTGGATGGGCTACTAGGGGTGAGGTTCTGAGGTCTTTCTGAATCGAGAGCGCTCGTTTGGATGAGCGCTTCATTTAAAGTTGTACTTGAAGTTCAAATTGCTCTTTGTCCTTTGTTTCTTTGAATTATGGCCATATTTGCTTGTCTTTTAAAACCGTACTATTTTAACAAATGAATAATATTTTTTTTCATAATAAATCGACGAACAGTGCTTTACTTTTTAGCCAGCAGGGCTGTATATGCTGGTCGCCA